GTCCCTGAAGTTTTATCATTGAAGAAAAGCAAGAAACATCATTCAAGGAAAAATTCTTAAATTAAAATCCATTTTCATAAGGAGGAAGAATGCAGTTGGCAAAATGGTGATGCTTTCCAGAAGGTATCATTATCTGTGCAGCGGTTTTGTTAGTAAAACTCATTTCCTACGCATATGAATCAAGGTGCGGTAGTTCCCAATTCCAGCAGAGGAGGAAGGTCAGTTTAGAGAGTGACGTCTCTAGCCTGTGATTGTATTTGGGTTTATGTGGCAAGGTTTTGGTAGCAGGGAGGCTGCTGCGGTGGCTTCTCTGAGAAAAGATCAGGAGCTGTGACTCTGAGACTCGATGTCTGCAGAAAGTTTGGTCAAACCTAAGCGCCTCCCTATTTACTTTCTCTAATTTGAAAATGAGAAATTGCTAGTGGCCACTTGCATCATGCTTCAAAATTGAGAGCAGTGCCTTTTGCTTATGTATTGTAGCAATTCTTATGTCTTTGGCATCTGACGGTTAATTTGGCTTCATGGGTTGCTGAAAGCAACTGTTCTCCCTCAGCTTGCTGCTTAGAGGCTGGTGTTCTCTCGTTTAAAGGCTTTTCTGCATTGCCAATCGCTTTTGCTTGCGGATCCAAATTTTATCGGAACCACTGAATGAACTAATTTTATTTAAGATGGGAAAGACAACAACCTGAACTAGGAGTGTGCTTAGACCTAGAAAGGTCTCTGTTTTCAAAAATCAGATTGAGTGAATCGGGACAAAAGTTCTATATGGCAAATTAAAAAGAAAAAGGGGGAGGTAGAGGTTAGTTCATTACATGTGGAAAAGGTTGGAGTATGTCAGGTTGAAAAGGTCAGAAAATTGTCAGGAAACAGTGAATCAGTTGATGAATCAGTTTAACTTCTCTCTCCACTCTGAAATATCTGTAAGAGCGTTAGGTGATCAGTATTGAGATATGTTACCAACCTCCTGTATCTTTTCAAGTAATTCTTAAGTTTGCAGAATTGACAGCAATCTGAGCATGTTTATTTGTATACTGTGCTTTTCAATCTTAGTATTTATTGTTTTTCAAAAGAATGGTAGAAAACCAAATTACAACAAACTTTTATAAAACTTCTTTTATATAGCTCTTTTTATGTCGCTGCTGGAGAGCTGCTGATGTTCTGCTTTGCTTCAAGATTGATATGAAATTGAATTACTGCCTTTCATTTTTCAGGGCTGTAGGCATTCTTTTGGTACATCTGAAATGTTTGCTCATTCAATATAAGCGGTTTGCAGGATGTTAGATGAAAGACATGAGAAAATATTAATGAAGAAAGATTTATTCCATGTCAGAGGCTTCACATCATGTCTCTGCAGGCATTTATAGTGGATAAGTGACTAGTAGGTATTTGAATAATTTAAGAAAACAAGTGTATGCAGAAAAACGCCATGGCCACCTACTGTGGCAATAGTGGTATGTAATGAATTTGATGCTAATTTAGTCCATGCTCAAATTGCACTTGCAGCTGAGATTTAGTAACCTGAATGTATATTTCCAGGCATAAGTACATGTATTTAGATACTTGACCCTTCTAGCAGAGTTTATTTATACCCTTGGAAATAAAGCCAATTAGAAAGAAGTACGGCTGAGCTGGAACATCTTGTTTAAACCCTTAACTTCTAAGCATTTTGTGGCTAAGTGTTATTCGTTTGAAAGCGTTTCTGTATTTAAATTCTTTTGTTTCTGTTGTGGTTGAATTGATAAGCTGTGATCCTGTACTTACTGAAGAGGGGAATGATGGCTGTTCCTTCAGGCAGCAATTGACTGCACTGTTGCAGAGTGCTCTGTAACAAGTCTCCAGCTGTCTTGAACTCTTTTTGCCTGGGTTTTTAATCCAGAATATCTGGGAAGAGCAAAATGTTTGGGGTAGTAATGCTGCAATAACTGCAGTCCAGATAATTACTTGGAAAGTGATAATTCATTGGATGAAACTACTGAAATATTCAAAGTGGTCCTTACATGACTCTTAGAGAACGCTGGGGAAGGAGAATGGACAGGCTAGCTTACTGAGGCACTCTCCACCTTTTTTTTTTTTTTTTTTGGGTGTCTGGTCTTAAACTGTAGCCCTAAATTAAGAATAAAGTTCAGCCAGCCTTACTGACTTGGGCTTCCCTTTAGTGGTGCTGTTGGAGGTGAGAGCAAGGGAGCAACTGGCAGCAGTCACTTGAGTTGCAGCAATGCCTAGCGTTTAGTGAAGACTTCACTGGAAACTTCACTTGAGAAAGAATTTTGGCTGACTTCAGGATTTAGGCTATGTGCAAGTGACATACACTTACTACAGATTTTCTGGTAGTACATTCCTGTTCAAAAGAGAATCAGCATGTGATTAAAGTCGGGAAGTAAAGAAACATCTGCTGGTGGAGTGGCAAAATACGAAAGATTAAGGTGCTTCTACTTATAATTATCAAGACCAAAAGAAACATTAGAATCATAGACTAACATCGTTGAAAGGGACCTCTGGATGTCATCTGATCTAACGTCCTGCTCAAAGCTGTCCGGTCAAGGTGTGAATATCTCCAAGGAGAGAGACTCTCTGGACAGCCTGCCCCAGTGTTTGACCAGACCATCCTCATGGCGTTGGAATTGGAGTTGGAATTTCCTGAGTTGCAGCTTGTGTCCTTTGCATCTCATCCTGTTTCATGAGTAGCTCAGCTATTTATGCTAGTGACTCGAGTGTTTTTCAAAAACACGTGAAAAAGAGGGGAGAAGAAATGTCGCTTCACTGAAATTGCTTCAGTGCGGGAAGTGTCGTCAGAAGGGTGTCATGCTCAAGTATTCTCATATATGAACCTGTCAAATTTTGAGAGTCTTTACATGAACATATTCACTAGGACTGGTTAAAAATTTTACATTGAAAATGGTAAATGGCATGGTGGGATTATTGTAGGAAAGAGGCGGTTTCTCTCTGCTTTTTTTTTTTTTTTGGCTTGTTTTGGAAGTATGAACTTTAGATAGTGCTGCTGGTGGGATTTTGTTGCTTGCTTCCTTTCTCTCCTTTTTTTTTTGTTTGTTTTTATTCTTTGCTGGGCTAAGTTTTCAATATCTATAGCCCATGAAACTTCCCTTGAGTTACCGACCTATCTGGGCAACGTGTTACTATCTTCACACTGATATTTCAGGTTACAGCAAAAATACTGCAGTGCTGAAACAAAGGCTTGGCTGAAAAATGCTCTTCTAAAGGTAGAAGAGGAAAAATGACTTCTGGTCATCTTCAGTTTGCACCTCTGGTTTTGTATCTAGATTTCTGCAATATGCTGTTGCTTGGCTTATGCAGCAATTGTTATTCCCATCGGTAGTTTAGGAAAGCTGTTCCCAAGGAATCAAGTACTAACCCATTGTGGCAATAGCAACAGGCGGATGTCAGTTAATAGGCTATTATAGTTGAGAATTGAGGTATACCTTCCTATATTTGGCATTTGTTGCTAAATTAACCTTTGTAAGCATGTTTGTTTCCAGAATGAAAGCTACTAAGTGGTTGTTTTTGCATCCCTGCCCTTTGTTCTTTGAAGTGCTGCTTCCTTGCTGCTTTACCGCTACTTATGCTCTGCAGTCTCTGGCTGTCATCAGCAGGGCATAGCCCTCTATTTTGTTGTGTTTTCAAATCCTGTCTTAGACCATGAAGTGATGTAATGATGCAGATTACATAGTTCAGGATGGCTGCTTAGTTAAAACGAGTGCAGGTCTGGCCAGCCTTACACTGAGTGCTTTGCCACAGAGATAATTTCCAGTATAAGTGATGGGTTATTGCCCCTGTCATAGCAGAGGCAGAGTAAGTGGCTTATCTTGCTCTGAGCCTATTGTGGGTATTGGAAAACATTACTTTAAGCTTCCATAAAGTATGGGTGAAATGGGTATTTTTTCTCTCCTTTGTCCCTGAACAAACCTAAATATTCCGGGGTGTTCCTTCCCTTTTTTCCCACTGTCTTTTTTTTATTATTATTATTTTTAATCCCCATCACTAATAGGCATATACAAAGGGGTTTTTTTTAATAGTTATTCTGGTTAGCGGTGTCCTTTCCCTGATTTCTCTCTGTTTCTTGAAAAAATTTCGGTGGAAATGCAGACCTTGCATAGTGATTATATTATTGTTTTTTTATTATTTTATTTTTAATGCTTTCTTTTTTTCAGTTACCTTTTGCCCAGCATTTAGTTGATGCACACATTGAAAAGCACTGCATTTGAGACCCATGTCCTTGCCTCCGAAACACCTGTATCAACAAAAATTTGTGTGGTACATATGACCTTGTAGGTGATTTAAGTAAGCATGTGAACACATGACTGGAGTTCATAATTTCTAGTTAGCCAAAAGGCACCAATTCATGTCTAAAATATTTACTGATAATGCTGAAGTGTGCGTTGCCTCTGTAGGCACAGATGTTAGTTTCACTTTATGTCATGCGTAAGCATTTAAGTCTTGGTATCGTGTACCTGAAAAAATGTGCAAAGCTGCATCATAAATTCTCGTTGTGCTAATAGCAGTGAAAGTGCAACAGTGTTGTGGGGTGGTCAGGCCAATAAATATCTGGGATGATGGGTGGGTTTAGATAATCTGTTAATGAGGACTGTGGTGCTGTGCCTAGCTTGTGTTTCATTTGCGTTACCCAAGCTGGTTTTAGTCTGCATATGTGTGTTGGTGCTGTCCTTGTATGGTGAATTCAGTGCAGATGCAGTGTAGTTAGTACAAGGGGTTGTGCTTTCTGCTACTATTTGGTGTTTTTCTACTTCTTCCCAGTCAATGCTGGTAACTCACAGATTGTCTGTTATTGGCCTAGTGTAAGGCTATAAACGAGTCCTTAGTCCAAAATTAGAAAAATAATTATAAATAATGATACAAGAAACATCTGTTTATAGTCTTTTTATAACTGTATATAGTGAAATACCTACCTTTATCTTTTATTAGAAGATGTATAAGAATAGAAAGACAGAATGAGACTTAAGTAACAAATAAAACCATGTTTTTAGGACTCTTCTACAGAAAATGCAAGTTGGTTTCGAAGACGGAAGTTACCCACGACACCAAGCTCTTGTGCTTAATGTTGCCTAAGAGCACACATCTCCATGTTCCCACTGGACAACACGTTTACCTCAAACAAATCATTGCGGGTAAGAAAAGTTAAGAATGTAGCCACGGCAATATTAACATAAATCCTTTTTTGTAGCCTTGGGAGGATGCCAAGTCCGTGACCACTAATGCCCTGGTTGTAGTTAGAAAGTCTCTGCTTCCAGGATCACAATCAGTGCTTAATAATGAACTGACTGGATTAATATTGCTGGAAAGCTAACTGTCGAAGTGGCTGGCATTTACTGTTGACCTGCTTGGCTCTTCTTTCAACGCTCCCTTTAAAACATTTTCTCTACTGAAGTAGTGCTGTTCATCTTGGAAGAGGGGAAACTCATTGTATGTGTTATATAGGATTAGTCAGTTCCTTTTAGTTTGCAGCTTTTTTGGCATGCAGAGGGTAATGTTGCAATTTTGCTTTTTTTTTTTTTTTCTTTCCTTTCTTCTGGGGGATTTATAGCAGTCATGGAAACACTACACTCCAGTTGCATTATATTAATGATAATGGGAGGTTGTTAGAGGGATGCATCTGAAAAAGCTTTGTTTAAGCACTGTTCTTCAAAATTTTGTGAAAGACAAACTTAAAAAGATAAAAGAAATATCTGATTCATTTTTTTTAAGGTTACTTTTAAAATTTGCATATTAATGGTTATGCTGGTCACTGTACTTGTGTTACACTATGCATGATAGATTTCTCAGCAGAATTTTTAAATATCCTTCAGTTGCTAACTATTTTCTCCTCTTCCCTGCCTAATTCTTTGCTGGTGTCCAACTCTTGCAGTCTTTTTTCTATCATTATACCATAGCTTTTTGAAATTATAGTGGAAGAAAATATAATCATGCAGTATGAAGAATCTGCTATTTCAATTTAGAAAAAATCAAGCTGTGGTCCTTGAAATGAAATGTAAATGTTTAGATTTTCATGATCATTGGGGATGACTCTAGATCTTTTCTTCCAGTGTTTTGAATTGCTAAGTAGTGTAGAAATAATAAACTATACAGTGGCCTGAAGATATTAATTGAAAGTGGAAGGCTACTGTAATAAGAACTGCTGCAGGGGAAAGTAACGTACTTGCTTAAAAGCATGCGATGGTGTTATTTTTATGGGATATGCAGATTATTTGTTTACTGTTTGTTTATTTTTGTATTTGTCTGCACTAAATTTGCTGGATATAGGGTAATTTTCATATTACTTCAGATGCTTTTTTTTGTCTTCTGTCTAGGGACAGAGGTAGTAAAACCATACACACCTGTATTGCCTTTTTTGCCACTGGATTTCAAAGAACCACTTTCCCATGATGGTGCACATATATATTTAATGATTAAAATTTATTCCTGTGGACTGTTCACACAGGCACTTGACCACCTACAAATTGGTAAGTCTATGTTGGGTGTTTCTGTGTTTGGTTTTGCAGCGATTGCTTTATCTTTTCAGGTTCGCTGTCGGGGCATTGTGATGTTCTTACTATTTACCTACTTATACATTGGGATATGCTTATAACTTTTTAAACGTTATTCGCCATGCCCCAAATGTACAGGCTTATCCTCACGGTAACTAGGAGTTGTCCATTACATAAAGCTCTCCTGACTGATCTTCCAAATGTATTAGTATTTAACTGTTCAGATGTGTCAACTGTATCATGCATGATAGTTGATTACTTTGTATTTGATTCTATATAATCTTAGAACAACTTTTTGTACATTTGAATAAAGTAAGCTAGTACAAATGTTTTTGTACTCATATCATGTAAAATCCATCAAAACAAGACATTTTAATTGAACATCTGTTCTTTTAACAAGAATGATCCTTGTGTGAAATGTATACTACCCTTTTGAAAGGAAAGATGAAGGCAATATGAAAGGGCCTTTTAAAAATCAGAGTACTAATTAGCTTGTTTTCATCTTATTAACATTTATCGTTCTCTTTTATTTTATTTGTATACAGGAGACTATATTTCTGTCAGCAATCCTGAAGGTAACTTCAAGAAGTCACAGGTTCAAACTTTGGAAGATCTCTTTTTATTGGCAGCAGGCACAGGCTTCACACCAATGGTTAAACTGCTGAATTTTGCTCTGACTGAAGTTAGTTGCCTCCGGTATGTATATTTATGATTTAACCCCAAGCTGGAATAATCCATAGGAAGGATGAAGCGTAATGGAATGGGCAAGCTTCAGTGTTAATGAAACAATTTAAAAAAAAAAAAAAATGGTATGAAAGCATTTTTCTTCAGCTTATGCCAAAAGCTGGCATGCTTTGGGGAAGAGTCTGTGAGAGTCTGAGGGGAATTTACACATATGTGGTTATTGGCTACATTAGAAAAATAGATTGACTTGCATTTTGGATTTTAGTTGTTATGCAAATGAGCTCACCAAGTAGAAGATCCGAGGGTTTTTTTAGAACTAGCTGTGCATTTGAGTGCCTTTTTTTGTATTGAATGTAGATACTTTTTTTCAGGCTTGAGGAGGTTTACAGCTTTTTAGTTACGGCCTCTCTTTAATCTATTAGAATAGCTAGCATACTTTTGTATTTTTTTGCCTGCTAAGCAACAGTAACACGCTTTTACCAGGTGAGTTCCGGTTTTCACGAAAACGTGACTTATATAAGCATAGCAATAAGTATATTCAAATCCATAACAATTTGTATTGCATATGCATTCTGTACTCTGCTCGTAAAAAGTCTACAAAAGAAAGTATTTCTTGTCGTTGTTCAAGTGAACAGGAGGTTTTGGCCCCTTATGTCCTTCAGAACCCCAGAACTGGTACTTCTGCTTGAGGTCGTTGTCCATTTACAACTGTAATGTAAATTAAACTGCAACGTTGAGTGTAAAAAAATCTCAACTGAAGAGAGTAAACAAGAGCTAAACTTTAAAAAGCAATGCAAAGAGTTACTGGAGGGGCATACTTTGATAGAGATGAGGTGTGCTTCCATAACTTTTAGCAAAAGTTTGCTGTTGGAATCATGTCTTGCTGAATTTCTTAGCAGATTACATTTTTGTTGAGGTGAATGAAATTGTGTAATTTGGGATACTACAAAAATGAAAAATATGCCTGACTATTTTCTTTAAAGCTGTTGCAGAGGACAGTTCAACAGACTTGCTACTGTTTTTCTGTACCTTTGAATTCAGACTCTTGTAATGGAGATTAATTTCTAATACTGGGGTTTATGCAATATAAGCACAGGATGTTTTGGTTCATTATGTTTTTATGAAGCACATTTTGAAACAACATAGAAAGATTAATTGGACACTAGTCTTCATAGTAAAGCTAAAAAGGATTACATGCACTGCAGAAGTCTGTTTCTAGGAAAAAAATCTAAACCCAGACGTTATATTGTTTATTGTCCAGCAATTACATATAATCTTATTTTGTGAGCAGAGAGGCTTTGTACTGCTTGGCTTTTCCAAAGTGTCATGTATTGTCAGTAGTGAATAACACGTGGCTGGATGGCTTTGTGAATCCAAGAGATAAATTTTCACTTTGAGGGTGGTAAGGCACTGGAACAGGTTACCCAGAGAGGTTGTTGAGGCCCCATCCCTGGAGGGGTTCAAGGCCAGGCTGGACGTGGCCTTGGGCACCCTGGTCTAGTGGGAGGTGTCCCTGCCCATGGCAGGGAGGTTGGAACTCGATGATCTTTAAGGTCCTTTCCAGCCTAAACCATTCTATGATTCTATGATAAATCTTATCATCTGACAAAATGCTTGAGAAGCAGTACTAAGTGAATTTGGAATAATTTTAATTTTTCTTTTTCTCCTTGAGGGGAAAACTAGTATGTCAGATAAAGGTAGTTGTGATAATATGAAAGCAAAACTAAGGAAGTGTAGTAAAAGATGCAAATCTTGACGTTTTGTCCATAACCGGAATAAACAGAGTAGACAATGTGTATGAAAAGACCACTGCTGCATAGATAGCGCTTGTATCTACGCTGCCCTTGAAAGATGACCAGCGTGGCTTATTTTGACTCTCTTCAGCACAATTTCTTGTGGGAACTCAGTGCTCAAAGTTAGCTTAGGATGCAGCAACATCTGTTTTCTTAATAGGCAAAGTAAATTAATTTTTCCTTCTCGCTGTGGAGGCTTGTTAGGTGCTGGAATTAATCGATCTGTTAGAGGCTCTGTTTGTATGCAGACACTTAAAGCTTGGTGTTTCTGACTGCTCTAGACAGCTTAGTTTCTTGGCCTAATATTTGCTGTTTAACTCTCACTTTCTCTTTTGGGAAAATATTGCAAGACCATCTTTATATACGTGTGTGTATATGTTTATATATACTATTCCTATATGTGAGATTATATGTGTATATAAACAATGTAAATACAATTATCTTATTGTGAAAAGGAAATGGGGATTGGATATGCTAGACCGTGAATTGCAGAAAGTTGAGGAGGGATCTGAATAATGACCGACTTGTCACTTGAGGGTGCGGAAGCAGCTTCTGTCTGTAGTGCTGGGTGAGTGCTGCTGAATCTCTGGGGCTGCACTGTGAGCGCTGAGAAACCCACAGCTTCCCTAGGCGGCATTTGCTATTGTGTAATAGGCTGGGATCATTGGATTTCCATTCTTACTGTCTAGCCAAAGTCTCCCTATTATCTTTTAAATCTGTCATTTCTTGCCTATGGTAAGTGTGGAAAATGATTTGGTCTCTTCCTGTCTGCAGTATCCTTTTGCGCATGAAGTCATAATGCTCTTGCTTCAGTCTTCTTTCTTCTCTTACAGGCCAAATTGTATTTGGCCGAAGTATTAATTTAAAAAGAATATCAGTCCTCTGTGCTGTTTTTTCCTTCTTAAGCTGAGATTTTTGCTTCTTTTTACTGGTGGTGTATAACTGCAATCAGATGGATACATTTTTTAAATAAGACTGAGGCATAAAGGCACTAAACACTAAGTAGAGGGCTAAAGCTCTTAAGTATAGGATGCTTGCAGTCTATTCTTAATTCTCCTTGATAGTTGTATCTTGTTTTGGCCGCAGCTTTTCCTTCCTAAACTACCACTCTGTTCTCGTATTCACTGTTAATATAGTGGTCCACTTCCATCCTCACTTTTAAAGGTGATTTTGTAACTTTTTCTACCTCCTCTTCTTCCTCTGTGTTAAAATCACCTGAAGATCTCTTTAACTTCTCTCCCTATACAGCTTTCCATAAGAAAACATACCAGGTTTTGAGTTTATTAAAGCCTGCATCCCTTGTAGTAGTTATCAGTATGCCAGATTCTCCCTATTTCCTTCCAAAGAGCTGATTTAAATTTCTCATTTGTTATTTAAACTTCTGTCATCGTTTGCTCAACCAGCTCTTCTGTACTGGTGGGGATCATATGTAAGTCTCTACTTTTTCATTTTAGCTGTTTTCATCCTCATTTCTAGCAAGACTGTTACCGGTTTGTTCCAAATTTTGGAGCTTTTTTGTTCTCTTTATAGTACTCAGTACTGCGCTGTACCACAGCAGATAAATATATCTACACTGGAGAGTATCGGTAAGGGTGTCTCAAAGCATTATTCTCCAAATACCCAATTTCTACCTTTGTGCCCAATGAACAAAATGCATGGCTTTACTATACTCCTCTTATTGACTCTTTTCCCCACCTGAGTAGGACTCGATGCTGTGGTGCACCATGCTGGCTTTGACAGCACTACATTCCTCAAGTGAGCTTTATTTTCCATGTTTTCAGGGAAGTGGGCCCTGGGAAGCATGTAAGGAACCTCGAGTTTTGACACATGCTAGCTTCTGAATAAGTTGATTTTAGTATTTAAAAGTGCAGCATAGCTGATTTGGGACTGTTTTGTTCTATGCTAGGCAAGTTTTCCAAAGCCTCTATGTTGTAAAGTATTTTGAGTTGTGATGCATTTGGAACTTACTTCTCTCAGTAACACTACTGATGATGTGCATTATATACAACAGTCATACCTCAGTTTTATATTCTGGCAGTAGAAAATGAATGTGCTTCTAAGCAGAAGATGATCTCTTATTTTTGGCATCTGATGTAGCTTGTAAGACATTTCCTGGTATCTTGAAGTGCTACCAAACTGCAAAAGGGGAAAAGGTTAGAAGTCAGAAAAGCATGGTATCTTCAGACTGAGAGAATACAGACTTTTAAACTGCAGTTGAAGAACAGCTGGAGATCATGAGCTCTCCACAGAAGCCCTAGCATATGTGATGCTCATGTGTGAAAGATGGCTCTCTGCAAGGTACAAGGATGAGGTGATGGGAATTAATAATTTCAGTGCAGCATCATACAAACTTACTGTGTCTAGCGCTAGTCTCTTGGAAGCAAGGCCAGATGCGTAAAAGGGACACTGCAGTGCCTTGTTTATGGAACTGTGTGGTGTGAAAGGCTCAGCTCAGCCTCAGTGGTGGCCCTGACAGGTACCCCTGTGGTTCTGCATGTGTTTCTGTGCCAGAGATCCCAGTGCTCCAGCTTCCTGCAAGTACGGCACTGAACTTGCTGCTGCTGCCACCACAGCAACATCCTCTCTCTGCTCAGCGCTGTGCCTGAGTGGAAAAAACAACAGTAACTTAAAGCCCCGTAGGGTGCAGTTCAGGGACTGCTTGCATTTAACAAGAGATCATCTGTCTTATATCAGTTGTCCCCTGGGTATCAGTCTGTCATTAGCAATAAAGAAGAAGTTAGGTTTATGTGGCTTCATCAAATGGTAAATTCTGTTTTGTAAAGTCAGTCTTCGTGTTTTACCTCCACTGTAGCATAAAATTCAGAAGAGATAATAGCACTGACCTTAGTGACAGAGCATTTATTTTTTATGTGAACTATCTGGCAAAGACAGCACTTGTAAACAGTAGCTTTTGAGGTGAGTAGATCAACAGCAATCAACAAAAAAAGTAGGAATACGATAACCTGGTACAGAGCTGTTTGCTGTTCAAGTTATGAGTTCATTTTCTCTTACTCCTGTGTGTTTAGATTCCATCTTTATGAAATTAATATTGACATAGCCTTCTTGAAATTCCAGTTTCACCTCTACAAGCTGGTGTATGTAATATTAAAAAGGTGTACAGAGTTCATATACCAGTTATTAATTGAAGTAGTAGTACTCAAACAGTATTGAGAAACTACTAGATAAAACTTGACAAGCTATAGTGTATTCCCAGTCAGGTATTAGGAACTTCAAGAGACTGTTTTTCTTAGGACAGCAGTCCCTGAACTGGGGTTATGACATTTGGAAGAGAGGTCACAAGTTCAACAGACTTTGAGGTACAGCAAGAAAAATATTATATTGAGTTAGTGGCAAAAAGATTGGAGGATCGCAGAGCTGCAAAACAAACAAACATAAGATAATGCAGTAAGTTCTGATTCTTTAACATGTGTTTCAAATACAGAAACAATCTGCAGTAGTTTTTGTTTTGTTTTCTTTTTTTTGAGGAAGGTGAAGCTGATCTTCTTCAACAAAACAGAAGATGACATACTTTGGAGAAACCAACTAGAGCAATTAGCTCTTAAAGATGAAAGGTATTTATAAGTCTTGTGGAGAACAATTTGTACAGTCCCAGTGTATAGAAGAACAAGTCTTGGGGCTTAGACTAACTGTACACCTCTGGCACAAAGACAGATACTGATTCTGGAAACTCTTTGCTAAGAATTTAATGAGACCTAGGGAGTGGAAGGAGATGTGTTTATATCGGTCACAGATGCACAGCAGCAGGCTATGTCATTCTGTTCTGTAGGTCCCATCGGATGCCAGGGATTTGATTTGACTGATAGATGTTTATTGGAGGTGATATGTGAGATGAGGTGATTGTTAAGACTGCCTGGGAAGCTTTTTGAAGGTGTAGAAAATTAACCTTAGCAACAGAAAATACAGATATGCAAGGAGAAGCACAGAAGCGATAGAAGTGCTAGACAAGGACAGGGTACCCTGGGAGCAACATGCTGAATTTAGAGAGGTCTTGAAAAGTCTCTTTGGTGTAACTTAGTTGAGAAAATGTTCATCTAGAAATTTGAAGATTAAATTAACTTTCATTTTTACTTACTGTCTAATTGTTGCATTTTTTTCCTCAATTACAGTGTAATTATGGATTAAAGTGCACTCATGTGCATGTCATGTCAACTTAGTTTAGCAGGCCATAGTTCTGTCAGGAGACATAGGAATGTTAGGGTGCCTTTTAATTTCAGTACCTTTTCTCTTATCCCTAGACAAATTGTCACTGCCTAGATTTTACATAATAGAAGTACCCTTTGTTTATGCTTACTTAATTCTTAATTGAAATTGTATGAACAAGCAAATTTCACTTGTTCCTTCACAACACTGAAGTGAAAAATCAGTATTATTTCATAACCTGGTGATGTCTGGCACATTCAAAGCTTCATAGTTTAGACATTGTGCAAATTTACAGTAAAACCCCCTTTCTCCCTTTCACTAAGAGATACACGCTAAGAGATTCACCTCAGATACACAAGTGCTTGTTTTCTTGTTTTTTACTCGATAACTACCCTGTTAGTGGGGTTTTTAAAACCCCTGTTAGTGGGGTATTTTCTCATTAATGAAAATTTACTGACATTTTCACAAGTTTGGCTAAGCATTCTTATTTCATTACTTTTGTATTGAGCTCCACCAACATTTGTTTAAGTGAGTACTGGAGTACTGCATCCAGTTCTGGGCTCCCCAGTTCAAGAAAGACAGGGAACTGCTGGAGAGGGTCCAGCAAAGGGCAACGAAGATGATCAGGGGATTGGAACATCTCTCCTATGGAGAAAGGCTTAGGGACTTGGGTCTCTTTAGTCTAGAGAAAAGAAGATTGAGGGGGGATCTTATTAATACTTACAAATACTTAATGGGAGGATGCCAGGGGGATGGGAGCAGTCTTTTTTCATGGTGCCCAGTGATAGGACGAGGGGTAATGGGCATAAACTTGAACATAGGAAGTTCCATCTTAACATGAGAAGGAACTTCTTTACTTTGAGGGTAGTGGAGCACTGGAACAGGCTGCCCAGAGAGGTGGTGGAGTCTCCCACTCTGGAGACATTCAAAACCCTCCTGGACGCTGTCCTGTGCAACCTGCTGTCGGTGAACCTGCTCTGGCAGGGGGTTGGACTAGATGATCTCCAGAGGTCCCTTCCAACCCTAACGATTCTGTGATTCTGAGTAACAGAACAATAAAATCTGGGCTTTAGTATCTTAATGGTTACCAGCTGTTTTTCTTTGTAAGGTGAAATATACTGCTAAAATCTTTAAGATTGAAAGATTGGGTTAAATAATTAAATGCACAATACTGGAGGTTATTTGATTGACTTGATTGGTAGGAACAACTAAATGTCTGAGAGATCTGATACTGTGCAGTGGGAGCTGAGCAGAACAAGAAGGTAATCACAGGAAGCATCAGCATCTCAGTCACTAGCGTTTTGTGTAGCAGATTTCTAATTGGAGGCTGTATTTCTGAAATAGTCTTCTGCTTACCAGGTTTGATGTTCAATTCATCCTTTCACAACCAACAAAGGACTGGGTGGGTAAACAGGGGAAGATTTCTTCATCTCTTCTCTCTGAGTTTGTGAAAAGAAGCAGAAAAGACTCCAAAGTGCTGATCTGCATCTGTGGTCCAACACCGTTTACAGAACAAGGAGTACAGTGAGTATTTTAAATGATGAACTAGACGACAAGGAGTTTTTGGGTTTTTTTTTAAATTTGAGCACCTAACCAGCTATAGTGTTTCTGACTTGGTAGTCTTTCATAAACGGCCTTATGTTTTCTGCTTTGCAAGAAAAATTTTAAATTGAAAAATAAAAATTAAAAAAACCCACCCACCTGGCATCATACGTGGGCATATATTTAGTGTGTAAATAAGTAAATATCAGCAATAAGTAAATTTCATGAGCTTAGTAAGTCATCCAGAACTTTCTAAGAGCATCTCTTTAACAACATTTTTTCCCCAACGCTTTAAATGCTGCTTTTAATTTGATGTTCATAGAAAAGTTGCTGTAATATTAATATTACCAACTTGATTTCTGACTTTCAGATATCTGAAGGATCTTGGATACTCCCAAGAAGAGATACATGCTTTTACTGCATAAACCCATATGAGGATATCAGTGTTTGTTTGTATAATCCAATCTTATTTATTTACCTTCATGAATTTAATTAAGTGAAAAGCAATTTTTTAAGACTTGATATTTCACTCTTGGTACCAAACTGTTTCTTGGAAGAAATATATCTTTGAAAAAAATTTTATACTATGTTTTATCTTGGTTTTGTAAATATTTTTCCTAATCCAGGGTATTAATTTATTGTAGAAGTAAGCAAAAATGTATAGTATAAATTATGTAAGATATTTCATGTTGTTGGTTCATGAGAATTCTTAAATTTGACAAGCACTGATTTAAGTTTTGACTTGAAAAGCTTATTATTTCTTACTGTAAAAAGTCTTAAGAGCAATACTGTCTGAAATTAAATATTGCACTGTAACTCAGGTAACCGGTCATTGAAAAATGTTCTTTTCCATCTGAAATCTCTATTTGACTTGCAAGTGATCTGGATACACTTTTGGCTTTGTAAACAAAGAATAAAAGTACCTTTGGTAAAATATAAAAATTTACATCAAATAATAAAACCTAATAATTTTACATTACTTCGTGCATTTTTGTGCATTTTCTGTATATTCAGTTTATAATGTGATACAGAAAGGTTTGCGCAAGCTTAGGACAACAGCTGAGAACTCAGAACAGTGGCACAGACTCTTGGTCTCCCACAAAACTTTCTATGTGACCTCACTGATACTATACAGCCCTTCTTATGAGACATTCTGAGGGTAAGAACGTGACAGCTTGTGTCCTGCAGATACCAGGGTAAAGACCATAGAAGTACCTAAAAATATTTGACAGGTTGCAGTAGTATTAAAGGAGGTTATTTGAATCAGTGGGTTTTTTTACTCCATTACTAAAAATATGTTGTTATGAGGCTGTAATCTGCTGTCTAATAATAGTTGGGAGAAAAAAAGCAGCAAAGCATCTACCCCCCATTTTAGATGTTGTCAGTAGTATCTGTAGGCATTGTTTTGTATGATGTCTAGTACTATTTGCCGCCTCCTGTTGTGTTAAATGGGTATTTCTTCCTCCTAAGAAGCCAGATGTGAGTTGTGGCATTAATACTTCAGCGTTCATGAAAAATACTTTAATAATACCCTTTAAAAAGGTGAGATTGCTCTCTGACAGTAACTGGCTATGCTAAACGGAGCTGTCATCTCTTCAGTGCCCTCTCGTTTATTAGACTTGAAGTTAGAAGAGGATCTGTGTCAGTCATTGCCCTATAACTCACAAGATATTTCAGAAGAGACAGTGGTAGTGTCATCATTTTGTCATCTAGATGGATCTAAATGTTTTCCGTTATAATTTTGCAATGCATTACTTGTGGAGTTTTGTACTACAAAGCTCTGAACAGGTTTCTCTTCCACTGAGAAGAAATATCAGTGCTATGCTGGGAAAACAAAGCACTCATGGAATTTTATCATTTTTTTCTGTTACAAACACAAGATTACTGTCATGACTTAAAAAATTACATTTTGGTGTTAACGACTAAACCTTACAACTTCCTTAGGATACTGAGGAATTTCTCATGTTCCTGTCACCCAAGATCTGATGGGATGGTCTCCTGTGTGAAAGAATTTCATTAATTGTCGCCCTCTCGGGCTTTTTGGTTCTAACAGGTTACTTTGCCAATATCCTGCCTTCTGTGCTTTCGTTGTCCTTATATGCCTTTATCCAGAAGGACAAAAGGAAGTGTTTTGGATAAGCAGTTGTTGTGACACAGTACATCAGTGACTTTATCCTTTGCCTGAAGATATAGGCCATATTTCTCAATAGATGATGACTTCTTGAAGGCTTTGTGCAGTCCAGGTGGTGATCATGGATGTGGAACTATTTCAGAGTAGGTCTAGAAGCTTGTGCAGTTCACGGGCATCCCCTTTGGTTTCTGAAAGTTTGTTTCCAGTCTGGTCACTAGTGGTAGTCAGTGTTTACAGTTGCAGTTTGAAGGAAGTTGTGCTCTTGGAGACTTAAGGACTGTCATCCTGAAGCAAGGAAGACTCTGACGCGATTGGTTATGTTCAGTATCATAAGGCATGTGGATCTTAAATACCTTAAATGTGAAGCAAGGAAAGCAACTAAATTGGTAGCTGCCCTTGGACATCGAACAAGATGTTGAATGTGGAGGTGTTCTGCTGTGGTGGTTCTTCCAGGTCAGATCTTTATGGGGTTGGAGTAGACTGGCTGGATCTTGGGTTGCATTTGTCCACAGGGAAAAGAGGAGTCTACCTCCAGGGCTTGTTGACCTTGTATTTTCCCTGAAAATATTAATACTCAATCAAAAGTGAGTAATACTGAGATGCTGATGTTACTGATGAGAAGGAAAGATGACTGTGACACGCAGAAGAGAGATCCTTGGAAGTTTCAACAAGCAAATGTGTTACCTTTGAAAACTTTTGAATGGTTGCTGTTGGTAGTTAGTTTCTGATTCATTCAACGTCAGGCACTATCAAGCACTGAATTCAGGAGTGTTTCTGTTCATAATAAAACCGGAATCTCTAAATCTGGTGTAGTAAAGGGGAAAGTCTGGACATTCCTGCATGAGATCATCAGTGAATCAATGTGAAGTTATCATTTGGACCAATGTGTTATGGGGATCCCATTGCACTGGGGGAGAGAAAAAGGCTGATGATCCTACGTGGTGCAACATTCAATGATTTTAAGGGTCTTTTCCAACTTAAATGATTCTATGTTGAGCATGAGATGGTGAGTGTTTCCGCTTTCTTTTGGAATGACTGAATAGAGTTGTCAAATAGTCTGTTTTAAGTAATACAGCACTATGCAGCTTCATACTTTGGTATTTTTACTCTCTCAAACTATAATCAATTAGTGTGGGTAACAATTTATTTTCTTCTTTTTTTTTCTTCTTTTTTTTTGTGTTGAAGTGGGGTTTTTAAATGTATCTGCACTACAGTTGTCTCGTGGTGGCGTGTAGTTCTCAACAAGCGCCTCAGGTTACCTGGCAACTTCTGGTGGTTGTATTCCAAGTTTGATCGTTACAGAGGAAGAGATCAATACTTAAACATTTTCTGGAAGTTAAGACAATACATATATACATCCATACATCTCCAGTATTTCTAACTGATCTTTCCCTGGCTAGATTGCCAGCCTATGGCATAAGTTTTTAAGAATTTGCACATCTCTGGGAATGCAACACGTCAATTTCCCAAAAGGTGGGGGTTTTTATTTTATCCTGTACTGGTACAACTTTTAATTCTTTATCACCAGTTCACCGACTTGCCTTGTTGAAAGTTTCTGCTCAGCAAAATGATACGTTACCCAGCTTCTGTTAAAGCTGACCTGCAGATTTGGAGTTACTGGATGGGCAGAGGAGAGAGGGAATAGGCTCTCATATGCTCTGCAGGGATTGACCAGAAGAGCTATGAACATTCTTCTGATGTTGTCTTCCTGCTCCCACTTTTTATCAATTACCTGGTTAATGTCAGATAAACAGTCTCTTGAATTAACACGGGGCCATTTCTGGATGGTATTTCACCAACCAACAAACCCTTTTCAGTTTTCTAAAAGGAAATTTGAAACATTTATCAGAAGGCACTGGCTTAATTAGTGTGGTGTCAGGCTCCAACAGGGATCTTGTATGGAAAATCATTTATGGGGAAAAGGGGACATCTGCAATCTCCCAGCTCTTTGTTTGGAACATATTCTTGGATAAACAGTTAATGTAATTTTTGTTAATGTTTACAGCTGTAGATACATACTTTGTGTAATTAGAACAGTAGCTTGAAGTAAATACTTTAGTACAATATATTAATAATAATGGTCTGCCAAGAGACTCTTCATAAAATATTTAAGCGTTTGTCCACACAAGAAAAATAATAGTTAATATCATACAGTGTTTATATTGCATTTTGTTGCTGAAGACATACAGATTTAAATCCCAATTATACATTGTAATCCATTAGTAAGACTGCCTTATAGCTGGCTGCTGCATGCTGCTAATGAAAAGGGATGATAAATTCTAACAATTATTTGCCAGTTGTATTTTTAAAAACTGAGCTTCTTGGGTTTTGTTGCCTTTGGCAAATGTGAGGAAGACCATTGCTTATAGGAAAATCCAATTTGCAGATATATCAGTTCCATATTCAAACACTGATTAAAACAAGGTCAGAGGAGCCACTGTGAAGTGGCGTAGTTGATCATTTCTCTGCTGCTGCTCAGGGAGATGTTTGTATGTTAATCAAGAGAGAATTGTTTATAGAAAAGCATCCTTAGTAAAACCACACAATAAATATAAAGAATTTAAGAATGCAATCATTAGTAGGTCTTCATTAACAAAAACAAAAACAAAAAAAACAAACCCACCCTAATGTTTTGTTTACACAGTGTATATTATTTCACTGCATCAGTCATTCCGATTCTTCTGGAGGAGATTCATTACATAGTAAGGTGAAAAAATTTGCTCTATTGTCTCCTCCCATGCATTTTTTTTTTTTTCTGAATGAAACTGATTTTTGGGATAAGCTATGGAAACCTCCATGGCAGTGTATCTTTTATCATACTAGCCCTTAGCTGCTTTTCTAGAAAAATTCCTCCATTACAAAACTGTGCAACACCCCCCTTATTTTAGAAGATGGTCATAAATTTTATGCATCAATGACATCAACATCAATAGCTCATACTACGTACAGTTGAAATAAAGTTTCTTCTCCCTCTCAGGAAGGTATATTATCAATATCTTGGAAATGCATCTGTCTTTTACATCATACTGCTGCATCCTGATTTTGCATTTTTAAAAACCAACCAACCAAAACCAAACTAAAATATAAACTCACCACACAGATTTATGGAAGATACACCCGCAAAATCTGCACATTCCATCTAAATTTAAATAGAACTTTTCATAAACGAAACAATTTTTATGAACTTGCTATCTCATAAAATGCTGTTGTAGAAGACTCATGCATTTCCTCTCTCTCATTCTACTTTTGCAGGTATGTGTAATGTGGCTCTTTGAGCTGCATGGTTTGGAAAAAGGAGAACAGTCCCCAAATGTTTTGATTCCACCTATGGTCTTTACTGCTCTGACCTTGTCAAGGATGATATCCCTATGGTGATCCCTGCTAGACCACTTCAGGAGGACCTCTGTAAGCATGGTGTTCTGCATTTCCAATTGGGAAAATACCTATTTAAGCATCTTTTTGCAACGATTGAAATCCAGATCATATCCAAGTGTGTAGTTGAGAGCAGTCATAATTTGACGTCTGTAGTGGAGTTAAGTGGAGGGACACCTGTTTCCAAGTTCCAAAGTGGACTTTCTGGTGAGATGAGCAGAGTTGCTTGTTTCCCCCAAGATAGGCTCTCAAAGCTTCAGGCACTTCAAGGATTTTTAAGATGTAATTTAGGATGAACTGCTGTACTTCTAAAAGCCTCCGATTTCCTTTGAAGTTTTGAATAGATCTGTTATTACTCATAACTTGCTTCGCATGCGTAGCTTAGCAACAAATGGCCATTTGACATTATTTCAACTTTCTAATCTAGATATGATACTATTTGTTAAAAGTGGCTGAAATGTAACTTGAAGT